TTAAAGTGGACTAGAACATTCTTTGCGTTTCTTCGAAGTTGCCGATGGTAAACTGAGCTTAGTGACGAAAGTGAATAATATGCTAAGGGGTTCAATCTAAATGGAATGACGAATATGAACACAAGTTTGATAACTGATTTGCTAAGTTTACTTATATTTCTCGCCTCTGCTTTAAGTTACTAGAGTTAATTCGATTTTCTTATTATAGGACAGCTTCTAAATTAGTAAACGAGGAATAACTTCATTCCTAAGATTCTGATATCAACGAAGGTGATGATAGTTTGTGAATAGTAATAAAATATCTATTATACTTTCACGAATCAACTCCTAACTGCTAATTATATCGAATTATTCGTTAACGTTGTCCAATATTCCCCAACGACGTCGAATCTTTCGAAACAGCGTCGATCGCACGTCGAAGCAATTACGGAATCGATACACAACTGCATCAATGATGGCCATAAAATCGAATTGGAGTTAGAGAAACGCCCTAGACCGTGGTGACGCTGGACATAACGTGTTTCCACAACGGCGTTAACGAGGCTCGATCAAAACTCGAGGCTGGTCGACGAGGATAAAGGACGAGCGGCACGGGCAATATATCACGCTTGACGCCAATGGAACCTCCGCAACAATAAACCGTCTAATTAGTCGGACGCGAGACGACGCGAGGGCAGTCTTTGTTGGGCAACCCTTAGACCGTGCTCAGACCCTCCCCAGGCAACACGAGCAGAGTAATTTTATTTTACCGGCCGATTATCGGTCTCCGGGATCGAACGCCTCTCTAAACTGCCCCCATTGTTTTCCTCGAACATTTTTGAAACGTGCGAGCTGATATTTTTCCAGAGGGTTGTCGAAGCACTCTTGATTCCTTCGAAAATTATATGCACTGGGGTTGATCGCGGGCAACCCCTTTATAAGTGATGTTAGTTTGATTATCGAATTATGAAGATACGTTGTTTAGATGAAATTATTTGGTTGTAGGATTATTTAATAATTATCAATTTGATTATGGTCAGTTTTATAGAATTATAATGATAGTGATAATGATTATTAGTAATGATATTAATATCTACGATATTAGGTGTAACGCTAGTGTCTAAAATATTAATAGAAATATTAACCCTTTATGGACGAATGTTGGCATTTTAGAGACATCACTTTCACGTCCAAGATAGAGTTACCCACATATGATTAAATTCTTCAAATAATAAAAGATTAATGTACAGTTCTCTTTTTCTTTAGTATTTGCAAATTCGATGTATAATTGAGCTTTTTTGCGGAAGATTTTGAATATTTAAAAAAATTCTCTATTGTGTTTAAGAGAATGATTGTCACGTTGCGTGTAATGATAAAATATAGAAGATTCAATACTGCTTCATCTTTAACACGCTGCGTGCCGCGTGGGGCGTATACGCTATATGTCATTGTAAAATGAAGAATTTATTAAAAATGTATTATGCAGTCAATTGTGGGCATATTAATACTATTGTCGCGGCGTTTATTTGATCGTGGTGCGTACACGCCCCACGCGGCGTGGTAGTCACTATTTTTTAAAAAACTGTACTGTAAAAATTGCAACATTCTGTAATAATTGTGTGGATAAACCACATTTATGTTTGCCATGTTTTAACAGAGTTCACCGTAATATCCTTTCCTGATTATATACAAACTTGTCACATAAATATAATATTAAATATATTTCAACTGAAATGTTTTATTTTAAACTAATATAGACATCATAAAAAAATATTATGTGCGAGGATGCGACTCGTTCGGTAGAGTAGTGTTCAGCCAGGTATTTGTTAAACTAATTGCTAAAAAAATTAATTTATTGCTTTGTTGTGTTATACGTCTTAAACTATACACTCTTTTCTTGACAGTTACGAGTTTTGTATTATTTTAATCATTGTAAGACATACTCCAGAAACAAAACAATATAATTGTAAAGCGTGGGGCGTATACGCGTATACGCCCCACGCGGCCTGAACGGAATGTTCGTCAAAAAACGGTCTGGCACGGAACGCGCGCGCGCGCGTGTTAACTTCAGTTCTACAATCATATAAATATACCACAAAAATAGTAAAGAAAAGAAAATAGATGAAATTAAGAAATTCGAAGAAAAAGACGTTATTCCTAACAGAAACAATATAAAAATAATACAGTATCTGTTATTACAAGTTACACAAAGCTTTCAACGCGTTCTTAATAATTAAAAACCCATAAAAGGTGTCATCGTCGATTCCCCTCCCGAAATTATCCTCCCGTGAGAACCGGAAATGATTCCTCGTGGTCTCGCGAGGCGACACGTGTCGAGTGGCACGGCCCAATGAGAAATCGGTCTTCTATCTCGCACGTAATCGACCATCGAAACACCTGCGACACGCGTGTCGTCGGTTAAAATGTTGTTTAGGTGGTCGACATGGTTCGAACAGGCTCGAGAAGCGAGGAACAAAGATTCTCTGCGGTTGGGCTCTGTCATTGACGAGAAAAGGTCCTCTAAATGCCGGTTGATTGTGGGACAATGAGGTTCACGGCGTGTCCGAACGAAGAACGGCCACTTTCTCCGTTAACTTCGATGCACTTGCTAATTTGAGCATTCCTTCGGAGACGACAATGGGCCAGACGTTATTCAAATGCAGGTCTCGATGTTCCTTTTCGAGTAATTGCTTCCTATTTTGTCTAGAACACCTCGATTAGAGAATTTTTTCACAGCTTTCACAGTCTTCTGCTTATTCTCTGTTAACTATTCTTCGATTGTTCGTTATGTTCCTCATTTCGTACAGTTATTCATTCCATTGACAATGTAATTCAATACTTCATCATAATAGAATTATTTAATTCGCCTACTGACTCACTTTTATCCTTTCATCTGTGATTTCATAAATTTCATTAACTATATGCAATTACTTTAGAGAGAATGATCTTAAAAACCATTCCTAGAGTTTCTAACCTGGAAACGTCTTGAACTTCGAAACCAATCAGAATATCAAGTTTCATCTGTCATCTTTTTATAGTTACAGAAACTTATTTACAATCAGCTAAAGTAATAACTAGAAACACTTTGACTATTCACACTGCAGAAAACCAAATACAATTTCGCGCCCTGCGCTTTATTCATCCCCTAGTACAATTTTTTATCGGCGTGACACCCTCGTTTTCCAGAAATCCACTAAAGTAAAGTTGTGAAACAGGCTGGGTAACAGCTTTGAGCCCGATTGACTGCAAAACGTGCGATTATCGCGCGGCTCCTCAATAATTGATCGCGACGGGACATATGTTGGTCATCCAGGTTTCTTCCGGTCCGCTTTGCCAGCCCCCGTCCACTTTGAACCACCGAACAGGGGGGCTCCATTAGGCAACGCGCAGTTTGCGAACAAAAGGCCAGGTTGCCAGCAATACCAACGATACGTCCGCGCATTGTTGTGAGTCGACAATGCAGCGGCACTCAACAACGCGGGCCAGGCTTGAAATATTAATTGGCGGGACCGCGAGGAGGCGTGGGTGCGGATAATTGTGCCGGATCAATTCGGTAAACTGGGACGAACGATCTACAGGGACGTTCGATTTTTATCGGGCAGTAAACTTATTAGCTGAGGATTTTATTTAGAGGCAATCCTGCTGGTCGGAAATTGATAATTCACACTTTTGTATTTGGGACAGTCAAGTCGTCGGGTAAAAGAATTTTCTTCTTTGTATTTCTGGTTTCAATGTGTTTCGGTGTAGACGAAGTAGAAACTTTGATTAAAATCTTAAGTAATTTCAAGTAAAAAGTATCATTCTTAATTTTTAGGATTTAAGGTAATTGCTGTAATTTGAACCAAATTCATTGCCATATTTCAAATTAATTTTTATATGATAAACTAAATTAATGTCTACATATTAAATTAAATTAGTTTTTACATTTTAAAGTAACTTAATTTCTACACTTTATTCATCAATGGATACCCGAATATAAGCTCGCTCTCAATATGAATACCACCTTTCGAAACTCTGCGAAATCGGAGCCACCCTTCGCGAATCGCATGATCAGAACAAGCGATCACGCGAGAATCGAGACGCAAGGTACACAACGCGAGTTACCTACCTAGCCGTGGCTTAGATAACAGGTGCATCGAGCGTTGGCGATTCGTTCAGCGGATTCTGGCCGATTTTCACGGCGTATCCGGCCCAGGATTGCGCGAATTTGATGAAAACTTCCAAAGAAATGGTCGGCCAACCACCCCTGGGGCCTCGGCGATTGAAAGAGCGAGCGTAGCAGCCGTGTCTAATCGAGGAACGGTCAGCGAAACCTCGAATGAATTCCCAAGGTACGCGGATCCACCTATTCGGATAATCCGGCCGGAGATCACGGGGCGCAGGATCGGCCGCTGCGTTTGAACCAGTCTCGCCTAACAGGATCCGGATCCTGACGGCGGAAGGTGGATTTCATGGGAAGAGATTTCGACGTGAACGCGAAACCTTCTCTGTTACGCCGTTTTAGGGGTAGTTTTTCAATTTTTTCACCTTCTTCCCTCTCTCCTCTTTCGCAGGTGGGAGGAAGAGTGAGAATAATGATCGAAGTATCCTTGTGGGAACTTTTTGGATCGAATGTATCGCAATTGTTGCAATGTAGAGGATCTTTCTAGAAATAAGGTTTGAAAGAAAGAAAAATAGAGACGTTCAAGTGCTGTCGCACTGCATAGTTAGTAGTCGTTAGTTGTTAATTACTAGTTAGTAACTAATTGGTAGTTACTAGCTATAATATTAGTTATTAGTTATTAACTAATTTGTAGTTATTAGCTATAATATTAGTTACTAGTTAGTAACTAATTAGTAGTTACTAGCTATAATGTTAGTTACTAGCGAAGTTTAGTAGAATTTAGTAACAAGTGACATTACAGATGAAAAGTAAAAAAGTTTCTAAGTATATTCAAAACATTCAAAAATACATGATTATAAATACATTAGTAAACAATACAAACACTGGTAAACGATTGAAAACATTCTAAAAGTCATTCTTAGATCTTCTTGACTTTGGGGATGGGTTCTTCGGCGAGGTTCCTCCTACCAGGTGCCCACGATTTAGGTAACGGCGGTTGCGGTACCGTTCGACTCTGCTTCCGGTCCTTGTTCCTCGAGCTGTTACTCCGCCGCTTCGTCGTCGTTGACCTTCTTTCCTTCCTCTTCTTCTGCTTCGGTTTTGATATCCTCGACGAAACCTGCCGCCTCGCGTTGTTCATCATCGCACTGTCGGGATCGAATCTATGTTCGAAAAACAAATTCTCAGTAAAATGTAATGAATAATTCTCTAATTGATCCTCTTAGAATGGATCACGTGTGAATTTGAGAAACCATCGAGTAAATTTATGAAATGAAATAGATTACAATTCAAATTTGTCTAAAAATTCAAAGTTACATCTAGTCAACTTGCGACTACACTAATCTATTCGGAGCAACAGAAATTCAATGTAAATTAGCCTAAAAATTCAAAGTTAAATTCAGCCGATGACTTCATTAATTCATTTGGAAAAAACAGATTCAATGCAAGTTTGTCTAAACATTCAAAGTTAAACTATACTAATCTATTTGAGGCAACACGAATTGTAATCTCGATTTATGTAAACATCGGAAGCAATTTCTCAGGAAGAATCGTCAAAAAGAATTCTCGAAGAAATTTGACGAATGGAGGAGACCATGTTTTGGATCGTGGAAATAAAGTGGCAACCTAAATCGATTCTTCTTTTTGGCGAGAATCCCAAAATCGAGTCCCCTGCGAAGGGCCACGGACACCTGTCTCCTGAGTCCTTTCCCTGCCGTGATGTTATGCCTGTTGCTGATCTGCTCGACGATCTCCTTCTCGGAGAACCCCTGCTGCGGCTGTTCGGTTCTTAGCAGATCGTAAACGAGGATCGATTTTCGCACCATCTCGGCAACTCTTCGTCCTCTTGCTCGTTAACAGGACGATCGGCAGGGAAACGCATCGATAACGGAGGTAACTCGCGTCGAAACGGTTTTCAAGTCTTATCGGTGATCGGAACTTGTCCACAATCGCGGTCTCATCGACTCGTTGCCATAGATTTATCGTTTGTACCGGGTAATCCTGAAAAACAAGTCGAATTCTTGGGAAAATTGTTGAGAAAAAGGAAATCGGTGAAATTAGAAACAATACAATTGTATTTACTTTTGGTTCGAAGAATCTATTATTTTATGTCATAGATTGGATCATGATTTTAATGGTAATGTATTTTAATATCTCAAATAATTTCGGTTTTTGTAACTTCTTTTTTCCCAAAATACTACTTTTGATTAACTTTCAATTGTCGACGCTGCTTCCAACATACTCAAATCGTTTCCTTCGGAAGATAATATTTCAATATTTATAAGAAACTATGATGGTGAACCGATAAGTATTCCTAATGTCTATATTCACGTATTCTATTTTCCTAATATTCTAATGTCTATATCCAACTATCCTAGTATCTTAATATTCTAGTATTAACATCCAATTATTCTAGTATCCTAATATTCTAATAATATTCTAATATATATATATATATATATATCTGACTATGCTAATATCCTAATATTTATATCTAACTATCATAATATTTTAATATCTATATATAACTATCATAATATTTTAATATGCTAATATCTTAATATCCTAATATTCAACTATCCATATTCACCATTCCCAAAACCCCTACACAGTCCCCATCAATCATCTATCACACCCGAATCAACAAAACCATCAAAGAACTAACCCCGTAACGCTATTCCGCCGTTCGTATCCCCATTAATTCGAAGAAAATGGCGACATGTCCTACGCGAAGGAAAAAAAACGTGGAAAAGGCAGAAAGAAACCTCGATGTACAGAGACTCGGCGGACCATTAAGCGTGCACCACCTGAGTGTCGCCGGCTCTTCGGTCCTCCCCCGTGTTTCCCCCGTCTTCAGCATATTTCCAGAATTCCGTGGCAGTCCTCGGTGCTTCGAGTCGCTGTTTGCCGAGAGGGGATGCGGATGCTGGAGGGTTTAGAAGGAGCGGGTGACTGGGCGGCTTTGAGGATAACTCCCGAAGGAGGGCACGGGGGTGGAGGATGAGCCCGACGGGCGGCGGCGGGGGTGGCCGCGCGTTCACGGTGCTTAGAAAGAGGGAATACGGCTGGATGGCCAGCGACTCTGATTTCCGTCGGGAATTTCGCCGCATCCGGCGCAACCAGGCGAACCCGCCTTTAATCATTCGATTGCCGGCGCTTAGAGGTCCCTTCCTCTCCCCGGCGAGGCCGATATCTAACCGCGCACGATATTTACTTAGCAAGTATCCGCCAGACCGGACCGTTTCCTCAGCGCGGAACGCGGTAAATTAATTTGCC